AACTCATTAGCTGAAATGTGAACTTAGCCTGTGCTCATCGTTTCACTTGTAATCAATCACCTATCTTAATAGGTCTGTTACTTATCCATACAGGCCAATTATATAGTGGGACTTTGCATGTTCTTTGTAAATGTTGATTTTAGGGTTCGTGATCACAGTTACCTAATATAGGTAGTTAAGAATTTTGTAGCAATTTTCCAATTAGTTTATACAGTTTGTTAAGAAGCAGCCATTTGGATATGATACCTTAGTTAATTAAACAAAGAGAGTATACACTGTGACAATTGAAGAAAGTTCCCCAATACAAGAGGATAAATGAGCTATTGACATGGAATGTGTTGGTCTTGTTAAAGTTGTTCTCTAACTGAAGTGTTAGGCAGCTCCTCCTGGGTCGTCTCCTCCTCTTCTGATCTATCTTGCATCTGGAGAAGACAGCTCCCTGACAAGGACTGTTGCTACAAGAGATATCTTCTGCCCTTGAGCACTCACTGGGGGATCCCTTCATTTCTAGGGACAAGTAGCTCACACCGCATCAATTGTCAGAATCCTTTTAGCCAATATTTGTGGGGCAGTTACTCATGCTACCAGGGTGACTCTGGTCCCCTTGTTCCATTTCCATTTCAAAGTTAGTTTTAATTCCTTCTAAGGAATATTCAAAATGGTTTAGGGTAGTGCCCAATAAATCTTTTTGCTTACACTTATGGCTAGAAACGACTGTAACACAGCTAAATGAGGTCCCGTGACACAGGTAGAAGAACACAGTTTTAAAAATCCTAATTTCCAGGATGTATGTGAGAATTATGAAACATTGCGTTAATATAATCCCCATACAGCACTTTGAAAAACTTTGTGCTTTTCTTCTCTTGTCCAGCTGATAACTGGAATCAGGCAGGACTAATTCCCAAAGCCTGTTCACCATCTACAAGGCGTAAGTTAGTGTGATTGAATACCCTCTGCTTTCTGGGATGAGTGCAGCTCTGACTACAGCCGAGAGGCTAGACACCAAACCAGCCAACTTAATCGGTTCGCCATCCATTAAACACATTCCCTCTACCACCAACACAGAGTGATAGCAATGTGTCTCATGTATGGAACTCACAGCAACAACTCATCAAGGAGTTTTTCAACAACACTTTCCAACCCCTGACCTTGGCTACTTCAAAGGACAAGGGCAACAGATACATAGGAATGCCACCACTTGCAAGTTTGCCTTCAAGACACATACAAACCTGACTACATTGTTGTTCCTTCACTATTGCTGGGTCAAAAATCCTGGGACTCTCTATCAGCTCTATGCAGCACCACAGACAGCAGTAATTCACAAATGTGGCCTAGCCAGCAATGCTCAGTTCCCATGAAAGACATAAAAGAAAACTGATCACACCTTGAGCAGAAAACTGAGTATTCAGTCTAATGCATTTTACTAGAGGCGGATATCATTTATTTTCCAAAAGTGAGTTCTCTTTTTCTGCTTCTATCCCCTTGATATCTTGCCGTCTCACAGTTTGCTACATCTAGTGGATGCTGTGCTACACATTCTTGTGCAATGCCCTGAGCTACCAGTTAGAAAGTAAATGAGGGATGCTATCAAGGGCTCTGATATCATATATGGAGTGCTTTCTTTGAATAGCACAACTATGGTCAGGATTTCTGTGACATCAGAACCCTATTAGCATATCTACAGTGAGATGGGACACTGATCCATCTCCCTATTAGCATGTTATAATTTTTCCCATGTGTTGATGGTTCTGACTGGCTTGCAAGGTGCCCTTATTGAAGAGTTCAACTCTTTCAGTATCTAGCCTGTATTTGTTAACTAGTAAATTGTGAAATTACAGATGTTGCTGTATAGATTCAGATTGGTGAAATTTGTCTGTGTCTACAGCAGCAGTGCACTCTCAGAAACATCAGTATTTTTATTCTATCCCGTTAAAGCACCTTTCTGGTGCATTTGACCTTGTATTCTGTTAATTTGCATAATTAATCTCAATGTCTAAATGCCAGTCTTTTTCAACTAGTATTGCTTTTGTGATTTAATATCTAAAAGAGACAAGTGATTCTTTCAATTTAGAATTTATTTAATTTGTGTTAAGAGTGGAAGTGTGCTGGGCTTTTTAATCCTCTATCCTTTCATTGGATGTTCTCTTAGTCAAGTGATTTAATTTCACCATTTAGTGACAACCGTGTACAAATGGGGGGAGGTTTAATAAATCACTACTATGAAATATTGGTGCGCATGTACTACTTTTTAATTCAGATCAAATTCAGCAAAACCACAAAGAATCAGACTGGGGGGAAAAATACAGCATGGTTAATTTACAAGTATAGTACTAAAGACTCCAGTATCTACATTCATCTGGGATTATTAATAATTATAGGTATTACACTTAGATTAAATTGTTTCTTGAATTATTGGGTGGCATGGTAGCTCAGTGGTTAGCACTGCTGCCTCACAGCGCCAGGGACTCGGGTTTGATTCCACCCTTGGGTGACTGTCTGTGTGGAGTTTGCACATTCTCCCTGTGTCTGCGTGGGTTTCCTCCGGGTGCTCCGGTTTTCTCCCACAGTCCAAAGATGTGCAGGCTAGGTGGATTGGCCATGCTAAATTGTCCATAGTGTTCAGGGATGTGTAGATTAGATGGGTTATAGGGGGATGGGTCTGGGTGGGATGCTCCGAGGGTCGGTTGTTGGGCCGAAAGGGCCTGTTTCCACGCAGTAGGGATTCTATGATAAGCAGCGTTCTAGGTCTTTCTAAAAAAAAGCTTTCTCTCATGTCAGCATTTTTCCCTTTACTTTTTGAAAGCAACAAATTATGCCAGACCATAGTTAGACAGTATCTCACTCCAAGTCGTGAACAAACAATTGGAGGTCAGAGGTCATCAAGGCTGAGTCAGATCATTCCTTCACCTAACAATCAGGTGTCACTGACCCTTCTAGCAGTGGGAATCTGCAGCAGCAACATAAGCTAAAACCAAGGCCCCTTTCAGTTCGTTCTTTATTTTTGCCTGATTTTTACCTTGCAAAGGTGTGAAATCCTGTGAACCCCTGAGTCCCTGTAGTGTGGAAGCTGGCCATTCAGCCCATTGAGTTCACACCAACCCTCGGAACAGCATGCCACCTAAACCCAACCCCCACCTCCCTATCCTTTCCCTGTAACCCTGCACTTCCCATAGCTAATCCACCTAGCCTGCAAATCCCTGGACTTTATGGGTTAATTTGGCATGGCCTATTCACCTAACCTGCACATCTTCGAACTATGAGAGGAAACCAGAGTAACCGGAGGAAGGCCACGCAGACATGAGGAGAATGTGCAAACTCCACAGAGAGATGCCGGAAGGTGGAATGAAACCTGGGTCACTGTGAGGCAGCAGTGCTAACCACTGAGCCACCGTGCTGCCTGAGATTTACACCAATCAGTTGATGAAGTCATGAAAGGTGTTGCTTGATGATGTGTGTGAGCAGCGCACACAGTGAAGTCAGCAGCACATTGTAGGTGTGCGTTCCAGAGCTGGCTGTCAGCCTGAAATTTTGCAGGTAGAACAAGCCTGAATAATTCTGCGTTGTTAATATTGTAGATCACATTGCTTACTCTGTTTAAGTTTCTCTCTCATTGAATATGCTTGGTAACACAACTAAGATCTGATATAACGGAGTTACTCAATGTCCCATCAGTGGATATGTAACTAACAAAGAAGATTGATTTCCTGAGGTAATTTCAACTTATGAGTTATGTGAAATAATATGAGTTTTTACAGTAGAGGAGACTTACAAAAAGCAGACATCTAGAACTACTGTTGAAGACCTTGAAAGTGGCTTATCTTTCAATTTAACCATGACATTAATCTTCTGCATATTACTAAATACTTAATATTCAAATTAAAAATTGAACTTCCCCAGAATTTAGCGTTGTTTTAATATTTCGCTCCTTCCATTGATTGCACACCATGCCTGTCCAATTCCTCAAACAAGAAAAAAGCCTGTCAACTGAACAGATCCAACCCAGTTCTCAGTTTAAATTTATACAACTGAAAGATGGGCTAGAATGACTGGGTAACAGATAAAAAAGCTTAACATTTGCTTGTTTCTCAGAGAGATTTTAACTATGCACAACAAACTCTCAAAAAAGCAAATGAGATAGGGCAAGAAATGAAATAATGGAGACAACAAAGTGCAGGGCTGGATGAACACAGCAGGCCAAGCAGCATCATAGGAGCAGAGAGCCTCTCTGCTCCTATG